CCTATGGAATATTGGTGGAAGAGCTTGGCTAGACCGAGATTAAGGCCAGCCCGGCAGTTTAGCTCAGCAATGCCGTTTATTATGCGGTAAGAATTGGTGGAAAGTTGGGTAGGGCAAAGGTTTGTTTGTCTGAGGAATTCACAGAGAAGGGCTGTACAGGGAATCGCAGTCTGGTTTCTACAATGGAAAGAAGGGTGAAGGGAATGAAGCCAGGGTTTCCCCAGGGTATGGTATCTAGATCGGCCAAGGTAAGATGGACGTCATCAGGAATATGGTAGTCCCTTCGGAACTCGGCCATGGCACCTGGTGAGTTTACTAAGAACCTATACTTTCCTATTAATTATATATAAATTATCGACAAGTGTTAGTTCGGTGTTGAGATGATATGGAGTATCTCGGCTGAAGCGTTCAAGGGAATGCCTGGCCTACCTAAGTTTGCAAAGTGAAAAAGAAAGGTGTTAAGCACAGATCGTGGGACCGTGCTACAAGAAACATAGGCAAGATAAATGAAGTCCTAGCTCGGCTACGTGGGATGCTATCCAGTTTTAGCTTGGTTTAAGCAAGGGACTTTAGCCTGGTTGAGCCTTGGGGGCAGCATTCTTAGTTCCGTTTGAACTAAGGGAGCTGGTTTAGCCCCAAGTTTTAGCTCGGTCGGTGGTTGAGGCTTTCTAGCGTGGTATTGCGCAAACCTAGTATGGTTTGATAGCTCGGTTAAAAGAAACAAAAGGTCCCTAACCTATGGAAACCGCAAGTATGGCGCGAAGTTTTAGTGTGGTTGTTGGGTGTGGCTAGGCTTGCATCTAATACAAACAGTATCCTAGTTCGGTTGATGTGTGATTTTGAATCAAATACAGTATTTTTCAGATTATTCGAAAAATCAAGTGGTTCTATTGCGTGGTTTTTCCCAGAAATATGGAAGCAAAAGTGGAATGTGCTTTGAAAAACATACAAATAAAACATACTTTGTGTTGCCAAAGAGGTGCGAAATCAACAGAAAGGAAGAAGATTCAAACCACTTACCAGTTCAAGGTGAAGGCACTAAAGGTGGAGGTAGTAGCAACAGCAAACACGAGCTCTGCAAATACAAGGTTGAGGAGAGATGGAGGCTCAGAGAGAGAGAAAAAAGGAAATGAATAGTGAAGTGTATGATTCAAAACGAAGGGTTTGTTTTGTGTAGAGGGAAGGACAAAAATGCGGGACTATTTAAAAAATTCAGAGTACGAAGACGGCGTGACAGCTGCATTGGGCTAATCAGAGTCTGCCAAGTGTCCTTGGAATAGAAATCGATTCAGTTAGAGACTGAAGAGGCGTCTTGACCGGACAGATTAGTAGCACGGTGTGAATTTAGCTCCGTTGGAAGGCTAAAGTTTTTTAGCTCGGTTGGAAGGCTAAAGCTTTTTTAGCTCGGCTGATAACAGGTAATCCCTATCATGCTGCGCAGATGGAATTAAGGGGCAATTGAGAGGATAATTTGTATGTAAATTGGGCCGAGCTAGGTAATGGGCCATTCTGTGGGCCACAGTTAGAAGGGCTGAGTAAAAGGGGCCTTGTAATTAGTCCGGTCCAAAGGAGCCTTGCAGATAGCCCGGTCCGAAAGAGCTTGGTGGTTAGCTCGGTCACCATGATTGATGCGGTGACAGCTAGCTCGGTCAAACCATCTTGAGCCGTGGTATTTTTGGCTTCTACTTAGGACCTTACTGTTGAGTAACTCGGTCCAGGTACGCTATGGTTAGCACGGTTTACAGGCGAAGCCGAGGTACATGTTACACATAAAGCGTTGGGATAAATATAACATGAGTATTGTTAGCTTGGTTACATTGTCATTGTGCCATGGCAATGCTAGCTCAGTTGTTTGGACATACCACCGAGCTAGGACCATCTTGCTTGGTTTAAGCATTGAGGGGGGTGTTGAAGGATAAGCATTATCTTTTAGGAGAGTAATTCCTAAGAGGACTCTACATGGAGAAATAAGAGTCTTACTAGGATTGTACCACACAGAACCTATAAAAGCTCATAACAACACCTATGGAGAGGTAACACAACTTTGATTCTCGAATACATAGAACCTTTGTCTATTTGTCTATTTTGCTGACTTAGGCATCGGAGAGGTATCCGGCACACACCCGCCGGCTAGCTCACGTTTGTTTTTTTTCAGGGAATAAAGCGACGACGTTTGGAGGAGCGTGGACTTGATCAACAGGATTATACGAGAAGATTATTTCTTGCTCGTACAAAGATGCTCTTGCATTTTCTAAATTTACAATTGCGTCATTTACTAAAATTTTAGGAAAAATTACATTTTCCCCCCTAAACTATTGTCTCATATCACTTTACCCTCTAGAACTAAAAATTGTAATACTTAACCTCCTCACATATTAATTCTTTTCAATTCAGACCTTAATGACAAATATACCCCTTTAACTATCAGAGTACATTACGCTTTACCCGCTTAAACTATTACTCAATATCACTCTACCTCTCAATTAAAAAAAAAATATATTTGATTTTTAATTAAAAATATAATTTTAAATTTTCTCTTAATAAATTTTCATATTTTTTATTTTTAGTAATTTTTTTTTTATTTTTTAGTCCAAATTTAAATTTTTAGATGAAGTTAAAATTAAAAAAATTGTGAAAAAAATACTAAAAAATTTTAAATTTTAAAAATGAAGCAAAGAAAAACTAGTATATTTTTATATTCTTGTCTTTAGTGAACATTTTAAAAAAAAAATCACTCAAGATTCAACCCGCCCGCTTCGAACCTTGAACCCGTTCAGAACATCAAAACGGCCGACTGTCAGAGAAGGCCCGTGTGGCCAGTTTTGAAGTAGCCTTCAACCAAGAGGCATCAAAGCCGAATCAAAACAAGTAGATCTCACCAGAAGAAGCTCGTGGAGCAACCGGAATGGATTCTTCCGCAAATCATTGCAACAGTCGTTCTCCTAGACACAGGGAGGCTTCAATTTCAGGAGTAAATTGATATGAGGTGATAGTTCAAAGGAGTAAATTGATATGAGGTGATAGTTAAAAAGGAGTAAACTGATATGAAGTGACAATTCAAAGAGGTAAAGTATAATTTACCCAATTGATGAAAGGGTAATTTAATTATAAAGGTCCAAATTAAAAATAAAAAAATAAAAAATAGATAAATATAAATTAAAATAAAAAAAGGAAGAAGAAGAAGAAGAAGAAGAAGAAGAAGAGGAGGAGGAGAAGGAGGGTTAGTTGTTATGATTTTTAGTTGTAAAGTGATATGTGATAATAGTTGAAGGGGATAACAAAAGTTTACTCAAAATTTTACTCCCTCCGTTCCATATTGATTGTCTCTTTTGAAAATTTTAAACTTTTAGAGAAATATAATCATTATATTTTGAATTTCAATTTTAAAGGATTAAGTCAAAATAAAATGCCCTTCTAATATTATTTTTAAATATATTTGAAATTACTGTACAAAAGATAATTTTAAAAATATTTAAATGTAAAATTTTGATTTTTTAAAGTAGACATCTATTTTTAGATGACAAAAAAATAATATAATTCCAAGCATGTCCTTCGTTGATTTCAGAATCAACTAGCTAATATCGATTTAATCGGAGTAAGACGACTGACAAACTTTAGATGTATGCACTGACTCCACAACACACTTTATTTAAATCAGATAATACAATTGTCAAAATTTAACCCCACACTCAAGTCCTGAATACAATTCATCCAACACTTAGCAGGCCGTCCTAAAACCATACACTAAAGCCTTGTTTGAGATATACTATTTTAATAATATTTTAACTTTTTATAAAAATATATATTAAAAAACATAATATAATAATTTATAATGACTTTTTAATTAAAATATATTAGCATATCACCCGTACTATGCACAGGATAATTATAGATTTTTTTAATATATAAATTATGTTTTTTAAGATTTTTTATAAAAATAATTTAACAATTTTATCACTAACCATAGTGTATGAGAGAAGTTGAAAAGGGTACTGCAGTAACTATGCACGGATTGTGTCTATAATTATTTGTATGAGGGGATTTTAAATGCTGATCTGGAGATTTTGACCAAATCAATAAAAGCAGACATGTGGATTGAAAAAAGTTAATAAATACTGAGTTTTTTTTTTTAATCAAAAATTTAGAAAATTCAGATTGGGATATTGAAACTCCCACAGGTCTTGAGGGTTAAAAGTCTCATTTTACTTAATATATAGTATAGATAGATACAGATAATTCACAAACAATCTTAATTAGCCCTCAGAAATGTATGGCCTGAACGTCAGCACTGACGCCCCTGCCACAGCCCCTTCGAGAGGCCTAAGAGCATCTCCAACCCATCCTTCATATCTTCAAATATGGAGGATCCTCTCCCAAAAATAACTCCAATCCATCCTCTATATCCTCCTCCATTTGGGAGGAGGATGAATTGATCCTCCAAATATACAGGGATGATGAAAAAATGGAGGAGACTCTAAAACACTATTCACTCTATATTTCTTAATTATATTCAAAATAACTTTTAACGTATAAATTTAATTTTTATAAAATTGACATCAATAAAAAGTATGAAATCATACCTTTAAAATGAGTATAATATTAAATACGTTTTACAAAAAATTTAAAATTAAATATTATTAATGAACAAAAATTACTTTTTAATTGAAATTTGAATGAAAAAAATAAAAGTTTGTGATTGGAGTTTGAATGAATAGTACATTCCTCTATATTAATTTTTTAAATAAAAAAATATTATTTTTATCTTTTTGAGAAGAGGATGTGGTTGGAGATGCTCTAAGTAAACGGAGGCAGAAACAGTGGCAACAGACGACGACCACTTGAATGAAATCCTAGTTCAACTACCCATAAGATCACTCATCCATTTCAAAATAGTCGCCAAACACTGGCTCTTTCTCATCGCCAACCCCCACTTTGTTCGCCGCCGAACCCGAACCACCCAAATCTCCAAACCTTCCGGCTTGTTCTTGCAAAACTTTCCGATGGTATTGGCTCGACAGCTCGATTTCATACCTCACAAGCTCAACCCTGAAATACCCACAAACCCCCCCTTCAGAACCCAGCTCAGATTTGTGGAAGACCCATCAAAAATTTTGCATTCTTGCAACGGTTTGTTATTGTGTCAAGGCATTAATTTATGCATATATAATCCTACTACCAATCAATTCACTACTCTTCCTTACCCACCTATTCACCAAGTTCCCAAATTTATCAACAATTGTCGTTACCCTTGTGCTACTAATTTAGCTTTTGATCAATCCAAATCGCATCACTACAAAGTTGTGTACATTTATTGTTATTATGGATTGTCTGCACACTTTGATCTTGAGATCTACTCGTCCGAAACCAGCCTCTGGACGACATTGGGTAGCCCTTTTCCTAGTGGTCTTAATTTTAGGAATGGGGTGTTTTGGAATGGTGCTCTTCATTGGATTGGCTTATTAAGGGATGCTGAGTCTTTATACTTGAACATTGAGGAACAGCGTTTTGTAACAATGCCCAATGTGCCTCCTGTCCCGGATGGTTGGGACGAGAGGAGGGTAAAGTATTTAGGGAGCTCTAGTGACCATTTGCAACTCATTGAGATTTATGGTCCTCCCACTACTCAGTGCAATGTGTATGAGATGGAGAGAGACTACTATGAATGGTTAGTGAAGTTTCGTGTTGATCTTGATTCAATTACAAATGCATTTCCTGAAATGATTTTTATCACACTTGACGGCGCGTGTGATTACAAATTCGTCATACTTGGTCTTATTCGGGAAGAGGAGGAGGATGATGATGAGTCATTTCTATTGCTGCACTTACCAGGTAAGATCATACGCTATAATTTTCAGGACAATAGTTTTAATAAGCTATTCAATCTTCCTTCAAGCCACAATGATGAAGAGGGTTTGTTAATATTTGATGGATTGTCCGATGCATTTGAATACATTGAGTCTCTGGCTTATGTTTGAAAATGTTTCCTGCTCAAAATAGTTTGGTGTCACCTGTTTTATGATATCTATGTTGCATTTTTAGTTGTGAAGTTGTAAGCATGTGTGTTGAATATTACTTGATTATAAGAACAATGCACCACTTTATCCTTTTGCTAGCATTATTTAGTGTTTGTTTCATTTTTTTCCCCCTCTTGTGTTTTCGATAGAACACTGATTGGTTGATGTAATACTACAAGGCTATATATCACACATAAAAACTTGAATGACAGAAGAGAGAGATAGTATGTGTTCTTGTTAGTGAATCCAATGCATCTATTTATAGATGCTTAGAGCCTCTTCATCAAAAGGCACCACTCTGCAAAGGTTGTATCTTGTTTAAAGATGGAACAACTACAATTCTTCATTAAGAGTTGTATCTGTTAAATTTGAATAATTTCAAACTCTCACAAGTGCTACATGGGAAGGTCTTCACCAACCCAGGGGAAAGATGTGATGATAACCTCTGTTCATTAGTTTGAAGTTTTCGAGGAATGTTCTTTTTAGCATTTTGGTAGTGGACATAATAGGGAGGGTTGGTTAGGCCAGTGTTTTAAAAAGCCCTAGGCGCATCGAGGCACCAAGGTCACCTGGAGCCTAAGTCCCGAGGCGCGAGGCGAGGCGCGCGCCTCACCAAAGCGAGGCGCAAGTTATAGAAGTTAAGCAAAATATTAATAAAGCACAATTTTCTACATAAACAAATATTTAATATGTATATTATTAATTTTTTTAATAAGAAGAAAAAAAACAATTAATTTTTAATATATATATTATTTTATTTATTTATTATATTTTTTAAATAATGTGTTTTAATTAATTTTTTTATTTTATTTTATATACATGTGTTTATTTTTAAATAATTAATGTATTTTATTTTACATATTATCTATCTCGAGCGTCCCAATTCCCGCTCGAGCGGACCTGCTCCCAGCACAGATTTCAAAACTTCAAACAGGTATAACTCCCCCATCCGGACTCCGGTTTAGGTCGTTCTTGTGCCCAAACTGAAGCCCCGAGAATAAGCTTTCCAATGGTTCTAACATCACATCCAAATTCCAAGTGTGGAACAAGAAAAGGGCAAAAGAGTGACGGTTGGTCGTAAACGAATTAGTCAAATTAAAGTTTTTGATCCAATCTTACTTTACCATCATATTATCATCTCAATCAATACTCCAACATAAGATAAGGAGGTTCTAAATACACTAATAAAAATGTCCAAAACGAACCTACGTGCCTCAGAAATACAACTCAACTTGGAGACCCGCTCGAGCGCCCAACCTTGCGCTCGAGCGCGCAGACCAACAAGGTAGTCCGCTCGAGCGTCTAATCCCCCGCTCGAGCGGGAAATCACAACTCGCAGAATCTCAAGCCGCCAGCAAAATTTGCTGGGAACCCCAAAATTACGCTCGAGCGCCAACTATTCCGCTCGAGCGGAGGGAAAATTTTCAGGTTGCTTGGTAAAGGTCACCAATATAGTTTCAAAGGCATAATCCAACGGATAATTCTTCAATTCCAATGGCAAGCACATTAACCCCTAATTAAATAAGGATAACTTTCTATACGCACTTTGGGGGCATTACACCTCAGGCTTTATAATAAAGCGCGAGCTTCGTCGCCTAAGCTGCGCCTCGCCCATGTCGCCTCGCCTCGCCCATGCTTGAGGCGCAAGGCTACGCTTCATCTCGCTTTAGGCTTAGGCGCGCGCCTAAGCGCGCTTTTTAAAACACTGGGTTAGGTAATATGGGGATTGAACTTTTGTGATTAAAGTGACTTAGAAATAACAGCAGAATTCAACATTACTCCTCTGTATGATTAGTTGGTTTTAAGTTTTCTACCCTCAAGGCAAAAATGATTATTTTAAAAGAATTTTTCACATTGTTTCACAGAAGGAAAACCCCTCCAAGTTAGAGAGAGAATAATTTCTAATGCAATGGTGATGAAGAGTGATATGATCACTGTTAATGAAAATGTAAGGGGGAGGGGAATACCTAAATTGACAAGGGATGTTAGTAAAAGAAATCATAAATTAATTTAGTAGAGTATATAACCGATTGATAAAAAATAATTCACATAGTTGACCCTAATTGATTGGGACACAAGGCTTTAGTTTGGTTTGGTTTATCATTTTATGTCTTTATTTTACGCAGACTACTATTAGATGTTAGAATGAGCTCAAACCACCTAATTGAACAAAGAAACATAAATGTTGCCGCCTATTCACAATCTATGAAGCACAAATACTAAAATTCTCTCTTAAATTATGACATAGTTTTTAGGGATTGGTTTTTCACCTTCCTTTAAACTATGTGTAATGTAATGTAAAAAGTTAAAAAAAAATTTAAGCACATATCTGTGCTTGACACTTGACAAATCACATGAAGTGCATAATTTACTTGTAGCCATATGTCAGTAAATATTATGCTCACTCCCTATCAACAGGAATGGAACAACAATTTAAACTGAACAATCAAACAAAAGCACTCAGGCGACTGTGTTTTGATTCAAATGCCTTAAAGTACAAGGACTTCTTTGGAACAAATTACAATCGGCAAGAGAGATGAGGTAAACAAAGTAAACAAATAGTAATTTCAAAATAAAACTACTCAAATTCACAGAGTTACAAAGTACAAATTACAGAATAAACTACTCCTAACTTGATAATCGACTCCTAAAGTAAAAACTAAGTTATTGTGTTGTTATTGATGCCATCCTTTTTCTTTCCTCCTCTGCCTATTTATAAGCTTACAACCATATGGTTCCTTCCAAAACAACTGCTCAAGATAGTTCCATAATGTAGTTCTTTAATGATAAAACAACCCATTGTCAACTCCAACTGCCTTGCCTACTTCATTATGCAATCAACTGCCTCCTGCACAAGCAACAAGATGACAATAATAATAATAACATAAAATAAAAATAGATAATGATAAAGATAATAAAATATGGCCATAGTAAATCTTTAAAAATGATCATGATTTGATTTGACAGACCAAAATCGACAGGTCACATCAATGATATTAAATTTGGCCATAATCGACAGGTCATAATCGATAGAAAACAATTTATGGCGCAAACACCGTGTCTTTTTATACGTAGGAGCTAAGAAGCATGGACACACGACACAACATGGATGCTAGATAGACAAGCCGACACGCCAATTTTCAAAAAATGTAGAACACAACATGTGGAGGACACGGATGGAATGTATAATTTTATATATTTATTATATGTTATTTATATGAATTTATCATTCAAAGCCAATAAAAAATGCAATATGACACTAATTCTTATAAATTTATATGGTTTTTTTTTTATTATTGTATCTCGAGTTGTTTTGTTCAAACTTATAATTAATTTCACCTGTGTTTAATCAGTACACATGTGTTTAAGCGATAGACATGTGCGTCCAAAGAGTGTTTGAGTCTTTAAAAAAAAAAAAATTAAATAGGATACGTTTTGAAGAGTGTCAGACAAGTATCAAGAAAGTGTCTAAAGAATGTCGGTGTCTGGCACGAATACGTCACCTTTTTAGAAGTGTTTGTGCTTCTTAGTGTAGGAGATTAATTGTGTAGATTGCTAATCAAATTCTCCTTTGCAAGGAATGAAATTTGTTTTGATCATCATTCTTTTTTGATAAATAAGTAAATTTGTTAGACAAGTATCAAAAGGATGCAAAGAATACAAATTTGAAATCCCCAATGAAACAATGCTAAGCTATCAAATCCTCTATGAAATCAATATAAGCTAAAACATCTGGATCAACCGATCCCGTAACCCAATTATATAACACCAAAAAAACCTGCTTCTCCAGCTGAGAAATCGACTGAGACACCCCTTGGAATACACGCCTATTACACTCCAACCAAATAAGCCACATTAAACAGTGAGAGGCAACCGCCGCTGCACATGCTCTACCACTTTCTCCCACACCCCAAGGGCCTTGAAAGAAGCACCCAAAGGAAGACCAAGATACGAAACTGGCAGAGACGCCACCTTACACCCCAAAATCGCTGCCAATACCGAAAGCCAAACCACTTCTCCTACCGGAATTAATTCAGACTTTGAGAGATTAACCCGAAGACCTGACACAGCCTCAAAACACAGCAACACACACCGAAGGTGTCCAATCTGACCGGTGTTCAATCTGACCAGTGTCCGCATCATAAAAAACAAGAGCATCATCTACATAAAAAAGATGGGAGGCGACCAAAGAAGATGGTCCAGAACCCACCTCAAAACCCTGCAACAAACCACCATGAACTGCCCTTGACAACAAACGCCCCAAAGCCCCCGTAACCAGAATAAATAGCAATGGGGAAAGAGGATCACTCTGCCGAAGGCCTCTTATATGTGGGGAAAAAACCTATTGGACAGCCATTGACCAACACAAACATCCACACACTAGAAATACAAAAATGTATCCACTGCCTCCATCTAGCCCCAAAACCCATCATCTCCTATATATACAAGAGAAACTCCCAACTAATATTGTCACATGCCTTCTCAATATCTAATTTACACATTAACCCCGCCTTTCGCTGCCGTAACCTTGAATCCACACATTCGTTGGCTACCAAAACCGCATCCAAAATTTGCCTACCATCCATAAAAGCATTCTGAAACTCAGACACCACCCCCTTTAGCACCCCCTGGAGCCGATTCGACAAAACCTTGGCCAACAACTTATACACACTACCCAAAAGACTAATAGGTCGAAAGTCCCGAATATTCTCTGCTCCACCTTTCTTGGGAATTAACACAATAAAAGTGGCATTCAAGCTCCTCTCAAACTGTCCCGTCCAGTGAAACTGCTCAAACATAGCCATCACATCCTCCTTCAACTCTCCCCAACAGTGATGGAGAAAAGCGATGGAAAAATCGTCAAGCCCAGGCACCTTATCCCCAGGCATACTCCGCAGTGCCTCAAACACCTCTTTGACCAAAAACGCTCTCTCCAACAAAAGACAGTCCGCCTTTGGAATAAACATCAAATGGAACCCCATCCAACGTTTTGATCATCATTCTTGTTCACCTCTTTCTATTCTTCAAGCTAATACTTTCTCTCAATCTCATAATTCTGTACCTCAGGTTTGTTCTCACTGTTCTTCTTCTTCCCTCTTTCATTCCTCTCCCTGTCCTTGTGACCCTTTTATCTTTGTTGAGTCTCCTGTAGCTTCCTTGACTCTAGGATTGACATACATTTATGTATTTTGATTCTATTTGCAGCAAGAGGGGGTCTGAGTATAGTAGCCTATTGAGGATTACATTTTGGGGATATTTTGATTCTATTTGGAGTGAAAGGGGGTCCGATTTTAGTAGCCTATTCTGGCTTGCATTTGGTGGGTTCTTGGTTTACCTCCTGCTTTACCATCACGGAGAGTATTCACTTCAAGCTGGTTAACATGACTGGGCTCTTTCTCAATCCCTTAAAGCCTCGCAGTGCTTGTTTTCCAGTTAACAGGACGCAAGGACCTCTCTGCATTTGCCACTCCTCTCTTGTTTGATTTTTCTTATAAAGCTCGATCTTTAAACCTTTTTTTAGGTATTGTTTGTGCAGAATGGCTGCTCAATTTTTATACCACTTAACTCATTACATGGCCAAAAAAAAAAATTCCAAAAATTTCTTATTGCGAAAAGCCCCAATTGTCTAAAGGCCTAATAGGACATAGGCCTCATTTTGATGTTTGGCCAGAGGCCTAAAAAATCCTTGCTAGCCTTGCAGCCAGATCCAAAATTTACGCTGAAGGAGATATCTTATTACATACAGTCCGTAGTTGTAGCTGGCATTAGTTTTAGTTGTTGATGTTCTTTTCTATTTCTCATGGTTGTACGTCTGTTCTGTACTGGTCTTATCATCCTCTTTGTTTCTGGATGCCTTTGTTCCAGGTGTAATAAATATATTTATAAATATTTTCTTAATGAGCTGGTAGTTGTATTCTCCTGCTTCTTAAATGAAGTTTTTTCTTGGTTGAAAGAAAAATGAGAAAGGATTTTGATCAAAAATAATTCAAACCACAGCTGAAGCAAGATTGAAACATACTCCCCCAAGTCCCTCATGTCCGTGCACTCATTCCCCATAGATAAAGTTGTCGCCAATGATGACATCTTAACCCAAATTCTCATAAAGTTACCAGTAAAATCACTCCTGCGATTCAAGTCCGTATCCAAACACTGGCTCTCTCTCATCGTCAATCCCCATTTCGCACGTTGTCGGAATCCCAACTCCAGCTTTGTCCCCAGCCTATTCTTGTACTCGTCCATGAGACGTCGTAACCCGAAACTCAATTTTATCCCTCTTCAAAACATTCAAAATCCAAGCGATGACGATGATAATGCTTACTTAGCACCTCTCACAACAATTCCAAGTCTATCAGGTAAAAAAATTTTGAGCTCATGCCATGGATTATTATGTTGTTCTAGCCATTCCAACCTGGAAGGCGACTATCAATTTCGCTATCATATCCTCAATCCCACCACCAAGCAATTCAAGTCTCTTCCTTAATCCCGTGATGGCCATAAGGGTTTGAATTTAGTGTTTGACCCATCAAGATCACCTCATTACAAAGTTGTCTGTGTTTGGCGTGTTGATTGTGTTGATTTAGTTTTGTCGGTTGAGTCTGATCAGAACAAGCTCTATTATCAAATTGAGATTTACTCATCTGAGACCAGCTCTTGGAGGGCTTGCGCCGAACCTTTCACCGCTAATCGAAATTCCCAATTTCGTAGCGGGGTCTATTGGAATGGTGCGATTAACTGGTTCAACACATCGGGGGACTCATTGTATTTCAACATGGAGGATGAGCATGTTAGAACTGTTCCAATGCCTCCGATTCCTCATGGGGATTGGAAAAGGAGGCCATTTAGGTATTATGGGGAGTCGAACGATCATTTGCATTTTGTTGAGATATACGGTCTAAGGATTCAATTCGATGTTTATGAGATATAGAGAGATTACTCTGGCTGTTTTGTGAAGTACCATGTCAATCTTGGTTCAGTTGGAGCTGCGTTTCCTCAGATGATGCAGAGGCCCTCGTTGGACGCAATGTGTTACTCTTTCGCTATGCTTTCGCTTGTACAAGAGAAAAAAGATGACGAGGACTCGTTTATGGTGCTGCACATATCGGGTAAAATTTTACGGTACAATCTTGGTGATAAGAGTTTTGAGAAGATATGTGATGTTAGTGCAGAGCATTGTGATGGTAATGGCATGATTGAGGATTCTTTTATGTATTTCTGGTTTCATTCCTTCCAATACATTGAGTGTGTCTCTTGTATATGAATGTGGTTTTTTGCTTTAAATCAGTGAATTAATTCAGTTCTTGAATTCTCCTTTCGTAGTTTCAGGTATTGAAAATTGATTGTGTTTGTTGCTGTAATATGATAATATATATATATATATATATAAATGATACATCCTTTGATATTTAATGTGGTAATTATGTCAGTTATTTGAAGCCACTTATATTTTTGAAGGGCATTTAAGCAATTTTGATCTCAGTGGTGCTATATGCATCAATTAGTGTACATACTAGTGTAGTAACTAGTGTTATGATATTATTATTGACCACATTTATTATACAAGTTACAAATACCGAAAACTATACAAATGATGCCACATCATCTGTTAGTACACTAGTGTAAACATTAATTAGTACGTATAGCATTATTCTTTTGATCTACACAGTTGCATGTTTCAAGAATATTTTGTAAAAAATTCAAAAAATTATGACCATAGAGACTGTTAATTTAAAAATCAAGATTAGTGTCCAAATCTTATGAGTACCTTCTATATTTTTATTTTTACATATTAAATATAATAAATATATTATAGTTCAGTTTAGAACCAGAACAAAAAAAATCTTAGTATCGGAAATCAGACTAATTTGAATGGTTCTATCATTTTCGAAAGCAAAGCCAAATTAATATAAAAATCAGACCAAACCAAACTAATATAAAAACAATACCAAACTGAAAATTTAGACTAAATAGGATCGATTTATCGGTTCTACCCATTTTTGTGAACACCTCTAATATCTCTAAACTCTAATTTCTATCTTTCTTCCTTTTTTCTATAAATTCCAATTAGTTCCTTTGAATTCTATCCGTTCTGCTCTTTTTCAAATCCAATTTCTGAATGGATTGAAAGTTACTGACATAGGTAGACACATAAAGGTTATTGGACCCCCACTTAGAGCCCAATACACGATCCAAACATTAAGGCCCAACATTAGTGAAACCCAGCATAGTACCAAAAACCAATGGCATCTAAACACTTGTAAAGAGGAGAACCAACCACATAAGCAGACAAAGATCTTGTAAAGTTATTGCACCACACGCCAGTCATTAATGAGGTTCCCTACAGCATTCAATGCAACAACCCCCTCATGATGGGACAGAAAATGGCCTGACCATGAATGAGACAAGCTGGAGTATACTTTTGGCCAGGAAGATGGAAGGAAAAGAGAAGAAGGATATAAAGAGGTTTCCAAGAAAAAGGTTAGGCTCAATCACAATCCTATCTCTATTCATCATCAGTACCTCTTCTCTAATTTGATTGTCGGAGGGTTCGCTGGGGGACTCCCATTCCCCGTTGAACTCTTGTGCAGGTTTCTCGGTGGGCCAGCGATCGAACAACCGTATCTGAGGCCTGGATCAGCCCGACCCGTTACCCAGAAACTAGTAGTATCATCAGTTGGCGCCGTCTGTTGGAAGCTACTACTCCGCGTAACAGTTATGCTCATTGTTATCGGGGACCCATCCTCGACAATCACTCTCTCCGGCCATCAAGGTAGATGGTCATGACGAGATCCATGGCTTCCCACCACAATGTTGCCAACCCTCAAGCCGGCCATCCTAACCCAAACAACCCACCTCAGTATTTCACAGAGCTCACCAACAGCATTAATCGTTTAGCCGAACAAAACCAAGCCTTGATTAATGCTTTGCTTCAACGAGACCTCCCTGTTCCTCCTCCACCACCACAAGATATCCCACTTAACCAAGAACCAGCTCCGAGCCATTCATTCTCACAAGCCCATCTCTCCAACTTGGAGGGTTTACGACCCCCACCTCAAGACATGAACTAGCCACCTCGAGCTCTGCATCCATCGGTTCAAGCACCTGCTCCCAAAGGTGAGGCCAGCAGTGTCCAACCCCCACTGCATTTCGGTGGTGACAATGTTCCTATCTGGGATGCGGAGCTCCGAGCCATGAAACTCCAACTTCCGGGAGTCATGCAGAACATACAGAGTAAACCTTCCATAACAGCCAATTCTCCGTTTGTCGCCTCCATCAGGGACAAATCCCTACCTTCCAAGTTCAAAATGCCCTCGATCGACTCTTTCGACGGCACAACGGACCCAGTTGATCATTTGGAGACTTACAGGACCCTGATGATCCTCCATGCTTTTCCGAACGAGATCATGTGTCGGGCCTTCCCCGTAACGCTTAAGGGGTCGGGTCGACTATGGTTTAGTCAGCTGCCGACGGATTCCGTCTCTACTTTCCAATACCTTAGTGACTCCTTCCTTAGCCACTTCATCGGCGCTCAGCATCAGCGGCGTCTGGCGACTCAACTTCTCAACATTCGTCAATCGGAGGGGGAGTCGCTGCGTAGTTTCGTCACCCGTTTCAACATCGAAGCCTTACAAGTGGCGGAAAACGACGACAAGGTCATCTTCAGCGCTTTCATGGCTGGTTTACGATCATTCGATTTCCTGTTCTCCCTCTCCAAAAACCCTCCGACCTTGATGGCCATCCTCCTTGCCAAAGCCCAAAAATATATGAATGCAGAAGATTCTATGGCAGCCCGCCAAGAAAACTCAACCCTCAGGGAGAAGAGAAAGGAATTTGAAACTAGACCATCACAATATACGCAGCACACTCCTCAGTACACAGACCGGCCGGTTCGTGCCGACTAACCAGCACCCACCCGACCACCTGGTCGGTTCGAGCGATACACTCCTCTTAATTCCCCCATGGAGCAAGTCTTAAACCAAATCCAGCGAGATTATAACCTGAAGTGGCCCCAGCCATCACGGTCTCCCTCAAACAGGAGAGACCTATCCAAATATTGCTGTTTCCACCAGCACCACGGCTACAACACTGAGGAATGTGTCAACCTTAAAGACCAGGTAGAGAATTTGATACGCCAGGGGGGTCTCAGTCGGTTCACGACAGCCCGTCCCCAGCAACGGCTACGGACCGAACCTACTGGGGGCAACCGCCGACACTTCCCTCCTCGGCAACCCGCACAACTCAGCCGAGACAATGATCAGCCTCCACTACCACCCCGAGCACAAGACAACCCTGCTCCTCCGGTCGTTGAAATCAGAGTAATCGCTAGTGGGCTTGCATGCAGAGGACCATTCCGTTCAGGCCAGCGATCCGAACTCAGAAAAATCAGACAGGGTTTTGATAGAGAAGTCGCAACATTCGATCGCCCCCTCAAACAACCCAAACAGTGGCTGGAACCTATCACCTTTACAAAGGCTAACTGCACAGGCATCCGTTACCCTCACGACGACCCCCTTGTTATCTTCACTCTCCTGTCCAATTACAAGATAAGAAGGGTGCTCGTCGACAACGGCAACTCTTCAGACATCATCTTTCTCAACGCATATCGCCAACTCCAGGTCGGAGAAGAAAAACTATCCCCTCTTCAAACCCCACTAGTCGGCTTCACGGGGGATCGGGTGACATCCATAGGCTTTATCAATCTTTCCATCACCATCGGCGAGTATCCACGGCAGACCACCAAGGTACTCACCTTCCTCATCGTCGACTGTCTTTCTGCTTATAACATAATCCTCGGCCGCACAACCCTCAACGCCTTCTGAGCTGTCACATCCACATACCATCTGGCCATGAAATTTCCCACTGAACTCGGGGTCGGCACTGTGAGGGGAGAGCAGACGGTCACCAGAGAATGCTACGTCGCTTCACTCAAAGAGGTCAAGCTGAGGGAGGCAATGATCATCGAAGGACTTGATGTCAGAGATGAAGACGAGTTGGTCAGAGGGGAACCAGTGGAAGAACTTTTCAAAGTTTGCATTGACCCTACCAATTCAACAAAAATAGCCAAGATCGGCAGTCAACTATCTTCCCAGGCAAGGTCGACCTTACAGCCATTTTGACCGAGAATAAGGACGTATTTTCCTGGACCTATTCCGACATACCGGGTATCGATCCCTCTTTCATCACGCATCCCCTCAGTATCGAGCCCCACTTCCGACCTTTCCACCAGAAACAGCGTGTCTTTCACCCGGAACGTAATACCCTTATTTCCTCTGAAGTAGACAAACTACTGGAGGTACGGTTCGTTAAGAACGTAGACTACCCCAAATGGCTATCGAATGTGGTCCTGGTCTGCAAAAACAACGGTAGATGGCGACTCTGCGTTGACTACTCCGACCTCAATCGAGCTTGCCCCAAAGATAGTTATCCTCTCCCCTGCATAGATCTCCTTGTCGACGCCACGACCAGACATCAGATGCTCAATTTCATGGACGCCTTTTCCGACTACAATCAAATCCTAACGCACCCGGCTGACCAGGAGCATACCTCCTTCATCACAGACAGAGGCACTTACCATTATCAAGTTTTGTCGTTTGGATTGAAAAACGCTGGAGTAACTTACAAACGGTTAGTCAATACCGTTTTTCACAACCAGATAGGCCGAAACATGGAAGCCTACGTTGATGATATGCTCGTCAAGAGCAAACTCTCCTCAGATCACCTTACCGACTTGCGAGAGACATTCGAAACCCTACTCAAATATCAAATGAAGCTGAATCCGGAGAAGTGCGCCTTCGGCGTAGGATTTGGGAAATTCTTGAGCTTTATGGTCAGTCAGCGGGGCATCGAGGCCAATCTCGAAAAGATCAAAGCCCTAGTAGAAATGCGGTCTCCCAGAACAGTCAAGGAGGTTCCACGACTTACCGGCAGAGTCACCGCCCTCAATCGTTTTATTTCCCGTGCAACAGACAAGTGCCTCCCCTTTTTCAAAATCCTCTGACAGGCTTTTGAGTGGACCCTCGAGTCCGAAGAGGCTTTTTAACAATTGAAGCAGTGCATGGCCAATCCCCCCTATTGTCTCAGGCGCTCTTCGACGACCCCTCTTCCTCTATTTAGCTGTATCAAACACCGCAGTTAGTGCAGTCCTCATTAGGGAAGATAGCTCAGTACAACAACCGGTCTACTATATTAGCCGAGCTCTCAGGGGGGGCAGAACAAAACTATCCCCTGTTGGAGAAAATGGTCCTTGCCTTGGTCATAGCCTCGAGGCGACTCCGACCCTATTTCCAAGCTCACTCCATAGTGGTCCTCACAGATCAACCTCTGAAGAAGGTCACGTAATAGCCAGAGTTGTCCGGCAGACTTATGCAATGGTTTGTGAGCTCAGCCAATATGAAATCTCTTACCGACCCGGAACGGCAATCAAAGGATAAGCCGTCGCCGATTTTATCCTGGAATTCACCAATCCCACTCCAACCGCACTCCCACCATCAAGGCACTTCAATACGGAGGCAGAAGATCCCCATTCCTGGACCCTCAATGTTGATGTATCATCCCGCAAAGAAGGTAGTGGAGCTGGTCTCATCCTCACCACCCCGAGGGCGGTTATTTCAAGTGTGCCCTCCGTTTCCTGTTCGATGCAAGCAATAATGAAGCGGAATATGAGGCCTTGATAGCAGGTCTTCGCCTAGCTAGAGACATTGGTGTAAGCCATATCCAAGTGTTCAGTGATTCCCAACTAATCGTCGGGTAAATCACGGGGGAATTCGACGCAAAGGAACACAAGATGCGAGCCTACAGGGATATCACACTCCCTCTTGTTTGCCTTTTCAATACTTTCCATATCAAACACATCCCTCGGTCAGAAAACTCTAAGGCAGATGAAATGGCCCAATTAGCCTTGGCCGACCAGCCAGACCTCAGCCATGGCATCTGCCTTGAATATCTGGCCCACCTGGCTACTTCGCTAAATCCGCAGGAGGTCTACTTCCTTGAAAACGAACCTGTCCCCTGGGCTGTAGACATCCTTCTGTTTTTGACAAATGGGGAGCTCCTAGAAGATAAACAACTGGCTGCCAAAGTCAGAGCCCGATCGTCCAATTACATTCTCATCAGCGGCCTACTGTACAAACATGGATTTTTACGCCCATACCTCAGGTGCCTCAGTTCCGCCCAAGCGACCTATGTGATGAAGGAAGTCCACGAGGGCGTATGTGGTAACCATTCGGGCGCTAGGTCACTGGTCCATAAAATCCTTCGCACCGGCTACTTCTGGCCTACTCTCAATCAAGATGCCACCGAGTTTTTGCTTAAGTGTGATAAGTGCCAGCGCTTCGCCGACATCCCCCATGCTCCACCTACAGAATTGATTACACTCTGCACCCCCTATCCATTCGCCAAGTGGGGTATCGACTTAGTTGGTCCATTGCCAACTGGTAGGGGCCAAACCAAGTTCGCTGTAGTTGCCATCGACTACTTCACTAAATGGGTGGAAGCGGAACCCCTCGCCACAATCACTGAACGGAACACAACCAGGTTCATCTGGCAGTCGATCGTATGTCAGTTTGGAATCCCTCAAGCCATCGTCTCAAACAACAGCAAATAATTCGACAATGCCAAGTATAGGAAATTCTGTGCCGAGCTCCATATCACACCGTGCTTCTCTTCCTTAGGTCATCCCCAAGCCAATGGGCAGGTCGAAGTCACTAATCGCTCTCTTTTGAAGATCATTAAAACTAAGTTGGAAGCCGCTAAGGGACTCTGGGCTAATGAGCTACCAAACGTACTCTGGGCTTATCGAACTACTGCCCGAACCCCTATAGGGGAGATCCCTTTTCGCTTGACATGCGGCGCTGAGGCGGTCATCCCAGTGGAGATCGGCTTGTCGACTCTGAGGGCCTTGCACCAGGACCCCAAACTAACCGAAGAATTGCGACGGGCTGACTTGGATTTGATTGAAGAGCTCCGAGAGACTACTGCTGTTAGACGGGCCTCATATCAGCAAAAAATGAGAACGCACTACAACTGCAAAGTCCGACCGAGAGAGTTCGCAGTGGGAGACCTAGTCTTGCGCGAGGTGACTCTTGCCACCAAGAACCCCGTTGAGGGCAAGCTCGTAGCCAAATGGGAAGGGCCTTATGTCGTTAAAGCCAGACCTCGCCCAGCCACTTACCGACTCCAAGACATGAAAGGTAGAGACCTCCTCCATCCATGGAATGCGGAACACTTGAAATGTTATTTCCAGTAAAATGGCGTCCCCTACATTTGTCTTGATCAGTTATTATATGTTCTTTTTGATGATCAACACGATCGTTTGTTTCTTGTATGTTCTTTATGATGATCTACACGATTGTTCATTTTTTGTCCTCTCTATATGCGGTGTACACTCAATAATGACTTGTCAAAGCCTCAGCCAGACTAAGCACGAGGAGCTCAGCCGGACTGAGTTAGTTAAAACCTCAGCCAAACTAAGCACATAGAGCTCAGCCAGGCTAAGTTAGCTAAAGCCTCAGCTAGACTGAGCACGAAGAGCTCAGCCCGACTGAGTTACTTAAAGCCTCAGCCAGACTGAGCACGAAGAGCCCAGCCAGACTGAGATAGTTAAAGCCTCAGCCAGACTGAGCACGAATAGCTTAGCCGGACTGAGTTAGGTAAAGCCTCAGCCAGACTGAGCACAAAGCACTCAGCAAATCTGAGTTAATGAAGAACTCAGCTAGACTGAGTTGACTAAAACCTCAGCTAGACCATGGCTGAGCCCTCCAAAGTCTTAATCAGGACCAGCATGAGGAATTCAGCCGATCCGAATCAAAACTTTGATTATCCATTTTTACAATTTTTATATCACAATTTACTTACAAATTACACAATTCACATACAAGTTTCATTTTTACAAGTTTCATTTTCTGTTCAGCCATTTTCATTATTCCAAGTTTACAACTCAGAAGTTTAAAGACAATAATAATACAAAAGAAAACCCTTTGTTTTATTAACAAACTTACACTTGATTACAAAGACCATTCTTCTACAATTTGTTGCAGAAGTTACATATATATATATAAAAAAAAAACAACAACGAAAAACAAAACAAAGCTTTTACACTCAATTATAAAGGTCATTATTCTTCATTGCGGACCAGATCTTCCTCCTCAATCCCCTCGTCTAGGGGGGTCTGGGCAACGTCGTCTTCGTCTACCTTCACGCGGCTAAAATCCACGTCTGGGAATAGCTCTTGTGCTTTCTGTAAGAAGGTCTTCCAGCCGCTGTCCCAGAACTCAGCCATTTCATGCTTATAGAAGTTCGACCGCTGGAAGCTCTGGATCACTTCCTCTTCACTCCTACTTCTAGTGGCCACCCCTGACGGCCCAGCCCCCCATCCCCCTCTCTCGCCAGGCTCCTAGCGACGGTGGCATCAATGGCAATCTGGAATTCGGCAGACTCCTTGAATTGTTCCACCGCTGCCTTGCATAGGTCGGGGTATGCCGTTCTCTCAAACGCCAATTGGGCCCTTTCCGCCACCAGAGCCCTCTCCAACTCAGCGATCCGCTGATCTGCTTCTTCCTTATCCTTGATCGACTGAGCGCGCAGATCCTTATTATTGCTCAGAGCCTCTTCCTACCTTTCATTGGTGGTGGTGCAGGCTTGTCGGACCAACTCCAGCTCCTTTTTCTCGCCTTCCAATTCGAACTACAGCGATATCGCCTTACGACGCTTCGCTTCTAGCTCTGACCTGGTTGAGAGGAGCTTAGCACTAGCACGCACTGTTGCGTAACCCTGCACCATCGCCAATACTTCCATCTTCTTGGCTCGTTGCGCACTCTCCAAC